ACACCATCTAAGTATGCACAAAAAACGGCTTTTGGTGCAGTATAGCTGATCACTTCATCATAGCACATGCATCTAAATTGATGGCTCATCTGCGGCGGTGTAGATACTGATTTTGAGCACTTTTACGCTTGCAATCATACGAAACATGTGTCGCTTTAACTTTGAAATACACACTTACTTCGTTCTCGTTTATTAAAAAAGGAAATTGGGATATCTAAGCTTCATTTCCATCCCACTTGAAAGTAGTAGATTACCCCTTTCGTGTATACTGTAATTGACTGCAAAAGAAACATCGAATTCATGCCGCTAAAGTGATCACTTAACATACAACTTGTAGTCTGATTTCCCCATTTCATAAAGTACAAAATATTACGTAAACCTCAACATGTCCCAATTCCACATGATTTTCTTTGATGGCTAGAAAGTAAGGCAGAGTTTCAGAGTGTGTGTGTATTTGTATCTCTCTTCATTGGAATGACACACTGTTGTCTATACTTGCATCATCATTTCCCAATTCACCATGTTTGGTTCACGGTTAGACCGATCACACCCAAACGTAGCAACTTTTACAAGTGGCCTTAAACGTTTTGCTGTGGAGCATTCATGGCACGACTCACGCACTACGAAAGAAACGTCGTTTGCTGAATCAGAAATTGAACAAGATTCGTTATCAACCCAGTCGTTTGTGCGTCTTGGCAACTCGCAATTGCTACAGATCGCTCGTGGTGCTGCTGACAGGTTAGACTTTCGCCGTCTTACAAATCGCCAAGTTTCGCTGCGCAATTGGAAGTGGAAACCTGTGGCCAATAACTTTACCACATTTTCTCACGGCGATGGAATTGAAGCAGCCCATGAAGTGCTTGCGACAGGTGAGATGAAAGCAAGTTTAAACGAATTGTCGGCCATCCTTAGCTCCACCACTAGTACTGAACACGACATGGTTATGCGAGGTCTGTACAAAGATTACATTCACGGTGCTGTTGTTCACGTCGTTGATTCTTCATTCGAGACACCTGTGTCCTCAGCTGACATGCCGGATATGGAGTCAAGATTGACAGTCAAAACCAGTGCGTTTGAACGTTCGCGGATGTTTCGAAACCACGAACAATGGTGTTTTCTTGAATATTTTGAAAAAGCAAGCAGTGCTGACTCGTTTACAGTCACGCTAACATCAGTGCCCGAGCAGGAATTACTGGCTGGAAAAATGAAAGCTGATCTCGTCGATGACCTTCCTGACATAAGTGCTGCATACATGATTGAGAAGGTACCAGCAAGCAACTTAGTGCGTGTTGTGTTCTTCGCTCAAGCCGCGCTATCTGAAGGTTCTCAAATAGACCAGTCAATCAGAAGCAACGATAGTGCTAGCAGTTTTAGCAGTCAGCTTTCTCATTCTAAAAAGCGTCAAAAGCGTTTGATGCGACTTGCTACTGGTGCGAGTATGCTTCCT